GATGACAAAGTCGGAGCTCTTTACTCAAAGATGAATCTAGTGCTTAAGGCACTTTCTGAAATCAAGACCACCACCCCCTAAATTCAACACTAAGAGAAGAAATTAGATGAGTTGATTTCCCTATGTTTGAAGCATTCAGTGGAGAAATACGAAGAACAATATAAAGAAAACGTCCAACATGACATCAACATTGTTGAAAGAAAGTTAAAATTTAATGACGACGTGATCACCGCAACAAATGATCCGATAAAGCAACCTCATGTTCGTCATGAGAAACAAATTCAATGCTTGGAAAAGGAGATCAAAGCGAAGGACATGATGAATCTAGTTCTTCAACATGTCCTCTCATCCGAACAATTCAATCAGCGCAACACTGTGTCGATATTCTAAGCTACAATTTCTATGAAGTGTTGCACATTTTTGAGGACGCATTGTGAGAACTGAAGAAACAATCCGCCATAGTTGATATTTCTGAAAAACTCACCAAGATTGTCAATATGAGCTTCGAAAAAGTCTTGATTTGGCGAACTTCAGGAACAAGTGGAGCTTGCATAGAAGGCACATCCTTTCGGTGAAAGAGTGAGTGTATGTACTAGTGGTAGCTGGAACAAATAGTACAAAGTATCAGATGATGACGACATGCAGACTGATAACACAAAAGAACAACCTTCTCTCAGAAGGTTAATTGCTAACGGAAGAAGAAAAGTAAAAGTGGTTAACTGGGCCTTCAACACTTGCATCCTTTGTACTCTGAAGTATTTAAGAGGCTAAGGTCTTAAATCAATTCAAAGTTCAAGCCTTCCGGGCTACTCGACCGAAAACATTTCTAATCCTTCCTCTAATCGTTGCACCAATTGATCAAGGTTCTCCTATTCAGAATGATAATGATTTTCCTCATATCCTCTCCATTCCAACCAAAGTAGTGATGGTGACTCCTATCACTCAACGCGTGACAAGTCTTTCAACTCCAGCTCTAGGAGCTCCAAGAAAAGATAATGGCAAAATGAAGGAAAATGAGAAGATTAGTTTGAAGAAGTCATTGAATCACTCTAAGGGATTTTCCAAAGAGCAGATCGAACAAGCCATCAAGGAGATTCTGATCTCTCAAAACCAATGAGAGTATCTGAATCCTCTTCCTTGAATCTCTCTTTATTTTCCTGAATGACGGCTTTACGATTTTCACTATGTTCCTCGCGAGACCTATACTTTAACTGTTTCCAAGACAGAGTAACTATATCTTCTACTATCTCTGCATGGAAGACTCTACAAAATGTTTTCGGGTCTACATCCAAAGGATCCGATGGATACTTAAGTCCGAACCGAAAGGGAAAGACTTAAAAGTTCCTGTGCTCTCCATTGCTTATCAATTAGAGAAACTTGGTCTCGGAAAAAGATCTCCTCAATTATAGGTTGTGGCAATAAATCAATCCAGAAATTTGGATTAAAGATTCATCTCCATTATCACCACATCTTTTGAAATGACTTTTGAAAAATCATTATCTCGGATGCTGATTTTCCGACGATGAAACCATACGATATTCTCATCATCGTCTATCATTTCCAACATAAGCAAGTTACAGTTCTTGCCAAAAGTTCCTTCCGAACTGCCTCGAACTTCCTGAAGGACTATGGCATAGAATTTGCAAGAAATGATGTTGAACTTTATATTCTTTTCAAAACAGAAAAAACATTCCTCCTCCTCCAACCAACTCCACACTTGAAGGCATTGAATATTTGCCTCTGGGATTGACTGACAAGCATGAACTCATATTTGTATTCAACGTGAATAACTCTCCACAAAAGCAGTTCTTCATACTAAGGCAAAAGCATCTTGTTCACAACCATGTGCTTTAAAATTTTGTAAAAAGAGATGAAAAATCTCTTATATCTGAGGATGCAAAGAAGGGATTTATTGATCAAATCAACTGGTGGATTGAAGTCAGGACTTGGCTACATAAGGTGTTTTTGTTTGCCTTCAATGATGAAGATTGAAGATGAAAGGATAGCTAAGGTTACTTGGGGGGGGGGGGGGGGGATTGATAGAACAAGTAAAGTGATCACTAGCTTATTTGAAAGATGTGGAAAGTTTGAACTAAAGTTTGCTTCAGGAACCTGCATTTTCTGAGCTACTTTATTTCTAAAGAAGAGATGTATCTGAGGTTATGCTCATCTTGTACTGATGTTTATTCTGTCTTGTGTATGTTATTGAATAGGGGATAAGATCAACGATAATCTTTTGTCTGATGTACTACTGTTGATCTGCAGTTCCCGCTTATACATTTTATTCCCTTGTCTTTACGTACACCTATTTCCTATAAATAGGAGAGTCAACTTTTGTAATCAATACACCTTTGAGCACATTTACAAGAAATACATCAGTCATTCTCAAACATTATTTTTGTGTTTATTGCTTACTTTGAATCATTTACTATTGCACTAAATACGTTGGTTATTATTGTTTGAGGCTTGATTGGTTCTTGTTCCAGACTTGACTAAAAATTTATTAATTGTTTCTGTTCTTGGGTTATCATTTCCATTCCTATCATACAGAAACCCCTTGTCTCCGTTCTCGTTGAGTAGATTCGAAAAGAAGGGCTCGGAGAAGAATGACAACACAATAAGGAGTTTTGATTCTAATCTTGTGGATTTTGATTAGGAGTTTATTGATCGTAATCTGGATAAGGATCCAATGAAATTAACGATTTGATCTTTGTAAAATTCGCCGTCAGCGGGATTTATGATGCTTGGAGCTGTGAAATGCGATCAATTATGGTATAAAATGGGGGTAACGTCAAATTTCCTGTTATAAGTTATAACACCAGTATTTCTTTTTTATTTTTTAGAAATAAACGTTGATTCATTTTGTGGGGCATAATAAGAGGGAATTCAATTTTTTTTAGTAGCACAAAAACAAATATGTAAAATCACACTAAAACTTTAGTGGTATATAAAAGCATATATAATATAAAATTTTGAGCTTTTAGTGGCATTTTAAATTATTATATCATTAATAAATATTAATATTAGTGACATAAATTAATAAGTGTCATTAAATCTGTTAATTTTACGGTGATATTTAAAATATCCACTAAAAATATACTATAATGACTTAAAAAAAGATGTATGGTTAAAATGTATGCCATTAAATAATATTTTTTAATTTATAGTTAGAGAAAATACTTATCGACTTTTTACATTTGGTTAATGATTTGTAGGTAATTTAAACTAATATTAATCTTTGACGAAATGTCTTAGCAAAAAATTATTTTAAATATAATTATATTTCCCTATCTATATGTTTGTTATCTATTTATTACTTCACCTGCACATGCTTTAAAGTTTTGTATACATGCCTTTTTTGAAGTTCCTTAAACATCCAATGACTACTTTTACTTGAAGTGTAAACGTAAAAGTGTAAATGTTTAGGAGCTTTCTCCTTCTTTGCATCTCTTTTTCTCCGTTGTAAAAGTTCAGCAAGACAGCAACCAAGGGCAGACATAGCATTTCCACGTTAGGGTTGACACAAAATTTAAATAGTGATACTAATAGAAAAAAAATATTAAAAATCTTTGCACTGCATATTAATAAATCAGGCATTACTGGTGCCACTACGGGCACCTATACAAAACAAAACTGGCCCTCTAGCAACCTTCCAATTTTTAGGGCATGAAAACAGCTCTCGTAAAGGTAACTCTTATCATTTAGTTTGTGTTGTTGACGCTTGGTGATCGTTTGTTTACGTATATCCAATCTAACCTCAAAACCCACCCATTCGTGCTCAAATTCAAACCACATCATATTTTGAATGTGGAACAGAGTAGCAACTTTAATTTGCTTTTTATTAATAATATATATTTAAAAAGAAAACAAAATGGTTTGTCAAGCCATGTGGAGAATACGGACTCCTATAATTATGAGATCTCTCAAGCTAATTAAACGTGTTACTCAATTATGGCACATTAAGAACTTCATGATAATGTGTAATCTTTTTTGGCTAAAGACTTTTGTATCTTAAATTCTTCTTATTAGAAGTCTTTATCGGTTTATATCGAATGGATTTTGATGGAACCGGTCCAATCTAATTGTTCATTGAATAAGATTTTGTCAACAAACCCAATCAAATTATTTATATGTACCAAATCCGATCAAATTGGATATTTGAATCAAATTATTTATATAGTCAAATTGGATATTGGATTAGATCGGTTTTATACATTTGATATCTTTGATTGGTTATCCATTATCCAAAAAATATAATCATTTTTCTATACAATAACAACCAAATATAATTATGATAATTAAAACTATAACCTCATATAATTATGCCAAATAAGACTAACTAACGACATTTAAATTCTTCAACTTCAATGAGGAAGGTTCAAACATGTAAAATCATCAAAAGAATTTGTTATATTTTTAATTTTCTCTAATATTAATTGGATAATAATCTTGGATGCGAATTGGATAATTTTTGGATTAATGTTGGATATCCGATTGGATAAACATTTGATCGGTTTGGTTCCGTCATTCATTGGATTTTTAGGATGATCTAATGACCGATCTTATTCAATTGGATATTGAAATTTCGAAACCAATCCAATCCAATTGTGATTGGACATCCAATCTAGTAGTACGATTCCTAATTAGGTGGGGTGATTCGACTTAGATCGGTTAATCCCTAGTTCTAATGTATGTTCAAAAGACAACCTTGTTTATTGGCTTTCTATAATTAACATGATGACTATGAAGAAGCAGAACATAACTTGCAAAAAGAACCACACATCAAAGATGGGAAAAACCCGGTTTTATTTTATTATATTTTATCAGGAAAAAATGTGTTATACCTAATGAAATTTTTCGTGTTCGTCCTGCATACACATACTGTCACACACGTCACATCATTAGAGTACATCTACTAACGGAGTAACCATAGTAAAAACTGAATTTGGTTGATTGTATATGTGTACTAGAGAAAATATTTTTCAATGAAATATTAGGTTGACGGATAAACATTCTTATATAACGGTTCGTCTTATTGCCACCAACATTGATGGAATCATATATGGAACTAAACGTTCATTTCCAGATCAATCGTTTTTCTGGGTGTGTTGGAGATATTAAGGGTTTTCGCCACTTCTCTAAGCTCTTTTTTTAGGACCTTACCTGTTTCTGTTTTTGGTAGCACCTCCACAAACTCCACCTTCTTTGGAACCATAAATTTCGACATATAGTTCATGCAATATGCCAAGATTTCTGTTTCAGTTGTGCTTCCTATCTTTCTTAAAACAACGAAAGCACAAGGGCTCTCCCCCCACCTTGGATGAGGCATCGCCACCACTGCTGCTTCGAGTATGGCAGGGTGTTGTAATAAAATAGACTCTAATTCCACGCTACTAATATTTTCTCCGCCAGATACGATCACGTCTTTCGATCTGTCTTTGATTTCTAGGTATCCATCCGGATGTATAACTCCAACATCTCCGGTTAAAAACCACCCTTTCTGAAAAGCCTTTGCAGTCTCGTTCTCATCTTTTAAGTACCCTTTCATGATGCTACTTCCTCGGAGTACGATTTCTCCCATTGTCTTGCCATCGTGTGGAACGCTCTCCATTGTTTTCTTGTTCTTGACATCTACATCCGCGAGTGTGAGTATACTTACGCCTTGACGAGCCTTCAATCTCATCTGCTGATCTCTAGGCAGCTGATTCCATTTGGATTGCCACTCGCACACAAGGGCAGGTCCGGTGGCCTCAGTGAGGCCATAGGCATGCGTTATGTGGAACCCAAGGTCCTCCATCTTCTCCAAGAGGGCAGCAGCCGGAGGCGCCCCACCGGTGAGTATGCTGACTTTAGAGATTATTCGACGACGCTCATGGGCTTTAGCCTCTAAAAGGATGTTGAAAACAACAGGGGCACAACACATGTGAGTCACCTTGTGGATGGAAATACTTTTGTATATTTCGTCGGCGGTGGTGTTGCGTATGCAGACATTGGTAGCACCTCTAGCTGCAACACCCCAGGTACACGTCCAGCCGTTGCAGTGGAACATTGGCAGTGACCATAGGAACACAGCTTCGGTACCCATTTCCCACCCTTGAATTAAGCTCATGGTGCTCAGAAATGCACCACGGTGGCTATAGACCACCCCCTTAGGCTCGGAGGTGGTTCCAGATGTGTAGGTCAGGGCGATGGCATCCCACTCGTCATCAAGCTCTTCACCTGAGTACTCGGGGTTGCCATCGTTGATAAGCTGTTCATACTCCAACTTTCCAAGACTGACACCCGTGGGCTTGTTAATATCATCAATTTCAACGACCAAAGGCATTCTATGGTGGCCTTCAGAACTGTCTTTGGAACCCACCATCAGCAACCTTAGCGCCACAGATGCTTGGGGAACGTACTCATAATCTACAAAGAAAACCTTGGCTTCAGAATGACGGAGGATGGTGGCAATGTTTTTAGCATCCAGCCTTGTATTAATTGCGTTAAGCACAGCTCCTGCCATTGGCACTGCGAAATGCATCTCATATAGCGCAGGAATGTTCGGTGCCAGTACAGATACCTATTCAATCGATCAACCAAAAATTCAATTAAAGGAATGAACCCAGTCGTACGTAACAGAAAAATCTCTTTTTTTGCGTGTGTAGAATTAATCGTGTCTACAAGCCATATGCATGATCACGAATATTGTAGACTAGAGTGAAGAAACTTACAACATCGTTCCTGTAAACATTAAGCGAGCGGAGGGAGTAGGAGAGACGACAACATCGCTCATAAGTTTGTTGCCAAGTGAAGCTGGTTCTGCCATATATGATGGATGTACGGTTGGAATAAACCATGGAGGCTCTCTTGATGAAAGTTACAGGAGTAAGAGGGACATAATTTGCTAAAGACTTTGCAAGTTTATTCATTGCGGTCGCTTCGATAGAATATAGATCACACTTAGGTTTGGTTCTTTGACTTTGAGAGAGATGGAAGGAGACTAAGAATAAGGTTATGTATCATGTATAGGATAAAGGTGAAGGGGAAATTGCTTACCCTCTATCCTATCCAAGACATTAAGTAGGGGGCTGCGGGATGTTCTTCGCTTTTAATCTCTTGCCCATCAGTAAATATTTATCCCATAATAATGTGGAGTCTCTTCTAATTATTATTATTATTATTTTTAAAAAAATCTATATATCTATAATAGACACAATTCCAAACATTTTGTATTGATCTGAAACTTCCATATCATAATTCTATACACCACATTGATAAAACTCTTGTTTCTTCTCATATTTTTTTATATTAATGATTATAATGTTAAATAAAAAGCAAAACTATATAAACATGTCACTTCTCACTTTGATCTTGATCATATTACATTGTTTCACTTTGATCTTACAAAATCTCACTTTTTTTATTTTGATCTAGCGCATATTACATTGGTTTTTCCCTAGTATCTTCTACGTTGGTCAAAATTTTCAAGGTCGATGACACGCTAGAAGCTAAGTTTTGCGGTTCGTAAAAAAAATGATGTCTTTGTATTTTTCATGACACTTTTGGATTGTTAGGTTATTTAAAAACTCACTTAGTTTTCAATAAAATATTTTTATATCTTTGTGTTTGTTCATATATCTTTTTTAATGGATAATCATATATGTTTTGTTTTTTGTAGCCAGTAGAAAGTAAAGGAAAAAAAATGTTAGCATACTCATTTGGCATTTCACAAAGTTGTTTTGTTGTTAATGTTACTTTTATGTTTTATTTATAACTTTACATTTAGCAAACGTCGTTATAATTTAAAACAATCATTTTTATTGAATGGTTATAATTTTTATATATGATGGCATAGCGATATGAATTAAGTATTAAAATGATTTTCTTCACATAACTCCTTTAAAAATAGTAGAGTATAATTTATATTTAAATTTAAATAGAAACATGGACAAAAGAAGAGATACAAAAACACAGCAAATGTCGGTGTTTTATAGACATGCATGTCTAATGCATGTCTTGAACCCATTTTAGGTCAACAACGAGGATTGTGAACTAATCTCTATACATGGCATAAAAACAGAACCATAGGCCAGATCCAACACTCTACAAGGTCACCTTGACTTGGAGATTTATAAAGTTACAAACTTTATGAGATCTAACCATCCTTACATTCAAGAACAAGAAGCTATAGGGACAAACTCCATCGTGTCCCTTACCACACTTCCTATAAGTGCGGCCCTTCTGGCCTCCAGCTCTCGCATCAGCGGGCTTTGCCTGCTTGGCTGCCGGCTGAGACTGCATCGGCCTCCTGTCCCTCCTCTGAGACTCGGCCTCCTCCCTGGCCTGAGTCTCTAGCTCAATCTCCCTCTTCCAGGCATTTTCCTGGAGCTCGGAAAATGTCCGGTACGTCGAGTTCGCAACGAACTCCCGAATGTCCCTCCTCAGAATGCTCAAATACCGACACATGCGTGCCTGATCAGACGACACGTGCTCAGGCCAAAACATCGCCCTCTCGTGGAACATCCGTGTAATCTCAGTCACGGACTCCATCCCCTGCTTTAGGGTCAAGAACTCATGTGCCAACCGTTCCCTCTCCACCGGAGGAACATACTCGATTCTGAACATGGCGGTGAACCTCTCCCAGGTCACCTCTGAGATCTCTACAAGAGTGAAGTTTGCCGTCACAAACTTCCACCAATCCTTCGCTCCCAAGCGGAGCTGGTTCAACGCGAACCGTACCCTCAGATGCTCCGGACACGAACAGGTGTAGAAGCATCCCTCAATATCAGAAATCCATCTCATCGCAGAAATCGAGTCCTGCGTCCCATCAAACTCTGGTGGCTTCGTGTTGCTAAATTCCCGGAATAGCAACGAGTCACCCCCCTAAGGTCTGGCAGCAACAACAGCTGTCGTAGCCGCAGCGGCTGCAGCCTCAGTAACCGCGGCGTACCGCTCATCGAATGTCTCAATCAACGTGGTCTTAATAGACCCAAACATCTCTGGTATCTCTGCTCGGATAGCCGCAGCCACCTCATTGTGGATCATCTGACGAAGCTCCTCATCACTCACGCCGCTGGTCCCTGGTCTGTGGCGTGTCCTAACCATGGTGTCTCTGAAATACAACATAAAATATCAGAGACTCGCTCGAGTATACTCGCACCCGATAACTCAACCCTACTTGTTCCCTGGTACCCTAAGGATTCTTACTTGAACTGTGCACTGATCCGGTATTTTCAGTAGTACGGGCCCTATACTACCTTCCACACTGCATCCGCGTTCATCCCAAGTCTTCCTCCTAGGATCCCAGATTACAAGTACTCTACATCTTGCTAAGCATAGGCTACCCTTCGGTAGACTTGTCATAAGCTCCTCACTTCTACCTACTCACTCTCGAAGCATCTCATAGCAGCAGTAATCTCCTAGGCTAAGGCATCACAAATCAGGCCACTCTAGTCCTAATATGAATACCTAGCCTACTCTAGCATGCATCACATATCATATCATATCTCATAACACATAATGTAAGGGTATTTTGGGAAATCACCGTTCGGGCGCTGGCTGATCGTACACACTGCTTCTTTCCGCTTTCCTCAAATTCCTTTACTTTTTAGAAAAACTGTTCATTTTATGAAAAACTTTCTCAAATCCTCAGTTTGAGTTCAAATACACCCGAAGGTGCATCCGAATCCCTCAAACCAAGGCTCTGATACCAATTTGTAACAACATGAATTTCCAAAACAATTTTTCATTTTTAAAACATAATTTCATTCATAAGAAATATCAAAAACCCAATGTAACACATGTCATCCAATAAAACAATCCCAAGATCTCAAATACATAAAACTTCATCAATGTGTACAGATCATGGCGGCGCCTTCCCGCGATCCTCGCTGGTACCTGAAACACATATCACATAAACGGTAAGCATAAATGCTTAGTGAGTTCCCCAAAATACCATGCACATACAACTAGCCACTCGAGGCTATAACTCTACGAGACCTTCCGGTCAATGTGTCTCAGGGGCCTTCCGGTCCCATCCTTTGAGTAGACCTTTCGGTCCTACTCTGTCGACCTTCCGGTCCATACCATGTTGACCTTCCGGCCCATACACTGCTGACCTTCCGGTCCATACCCTGTTGACCTTCCGGTCCATACCATACTGAACTTCCAGTCCTTACCATGCTACTCATAACATACATTACATATAAATATCACATAGGAACATATATCACATACTCGTCATAACACATAAGACCTTCCGGTAACATATCACATAAAATCTAATAACTCATAAACATAAGACCTTCTGGTCAGTCATACTTACCATTCCAGGTAAAGTATAGTGAGAAGACTCACCTCGTACGATGTCGGATAATCTTTCTTGCTGAATAACTCGATCTAGCATCCTCCTATCAACATAATAACATCTCTAATCAATACTTGCTCTTGTCCTTATTCCTAAAGAATGGGTAGAAGACCATTCTACCCCTCCCTGTCCTTTCTTGAACCAGTTTGACCAAAACTCTAAGGTCAACTGAAGTCAACTCTAGTCAATCGGTCAAACTTTGACCAAACTCGTCGAGTGCACTCGGGTGACTCGGCGAGTCCATGACCTCTTAATCCTCATAAATCCTCACTTGACTCGTCGAGTTAACCTTTCACTCGACGGGTTTTCACTGGTCATGAATCGCGGGGCAACCCGACTCGACTCGTCGAGTCCCCTTATGGACTCGGCGAGTTCCCTCCATGGCAACACTCAAAAGACCTTCTAAGGTCAGATCTGTTTCTCTAACCTATAGATCTGATCTTCCAATATACAATAATCACGTAAAGGTCCAACCTTTACACTCATGCAACACTCATAGGGCTTCTTTTGGTGAAATAGCTTCTAAAATGGCAACCTAGGTTCATATATCCAAAGGTATAGCATAAAGCAGGATAGATAGGACTCTCTGGACCTCTTAAGGTCCAGATCCAAGAAGGATTCCACCTTGGGACCTCATATGCTTTGAATCCAAGCTAAAGAAGGCATAAGAAAACCCTAGATTCAAGTAGATCACCATATACACGAGAATGAGCATAGATTTATACCTCTAGCAGCCTCTTCTGATCAAATGGTGGAAGATCTGAGCTCCACAATCTTCCTAGCTTGCCCTCCTTCCTTCTTTCATGCAAAAATCACACTAGAAATGAAGAAAATGGCTTCTTTTCTCACTCACAATGCTCTCAGGTTCTCTGGTGCTCTCAAGGGTGAAGGTGGCCGCAAATGAGGGCCATAAGATCCCTTAAATAGGGCACAAGCCCGAGGATTTAGGGTTTCTGTCCACATCGCGGACTCGTCGAGTCGACTCACTGACTCGTCGATTCCATTCATTAAATCCAGTCAGCAATCGCGATCCTACTCGACGAGTCTAGGCGTCAACTCGTCGAGTCCCTCTTCTTGACTCAAAATAAATAATTAAAATTTGATACCTGGAATTCCGGATGTTACAATTCTCCCCCCACTAAAATCAGACTTCGCCCTCGAAGTCTCGCTCTGCAAACAACTCTGGATGTTGTTCCCGCATCTCCAACTCCGGTTCCCAAGTCAGCTCGGACCCTTTCCGATGCTGCCACTGGACCTGAACCAGGGGCACCTCCTTGTTCCTCAGAACCTTGATTTTTCGATCCAGGATCGCAATCGGCCTCTCCACATAATTCAGGCTCACATCCACCTGAATATCATCTAGTGGCACTACCTCCGACTCGTCGGCTATACACTTCCTCAACTGGGACACGTGGAAGGTATCATGTATCTGGCTCAACTCCGCAGGTAGCTCTACACGATATGCTACCCTGCCCACCCTCGCGGTCACCCTGAAAGGACCAATGTACCGGGGCCCCAGCTTGCCCCTCTTCCTGAATCGGATCACTCCTTTCCAAGGCGATACCTTCAGGAGTACGAAGTCACCCACCTGAAACTCGAGTTTGGATCGTCGCCTATCCGCATAACTTTTCTGGCGACTCTGAGCTGTCAGCAACCTTTGTCTGAC